AACTACGCCAACGATCGAAGATCAGGGACGCTGCCGTTTTCGCCAAGGAATCGAAGATAAGGTGGGCCGGACACGTCATGCGATTTTGCGATGACCGTTGGACCAGAGCGGTTACCGACTGGATCCCTCGGGACGTCAAACGAACACCTGGACGACCGCCGGCCCGATGGTCAGACTTCACGAAAGCTCTGAACGAAAGGAATGAAGGACTTCGTGTCCCTCGAGCGAGGAGGGTCCACTGGACAACTCTTGCACGCGACAGGGACGAATGGAGACGTTGCTGGCGCCCGCTCGAGCAATTCGATGATCAACGGGACGACAGGTGATACAGGTGATACAGGTTCTAATCTTCGGCCGCTAACTGAGTTCGGAACTAGGGATCCCCTTCCGGTTTTGCGGACTTTGGATTCAATGCTATATTGACTAGATGCGGTTTTGTTCATCTCGTATGTCCACGCACCTTCCTCTTCAAAGTGCGTTGGTTATCACTGGCTATTGCTGCTCATCCTGCCTACGCAAAGAATAAGTTCCTCGAGTGTTAACTAAGGAAGGACTGCAGTATCGAAGAAGTAAGCGCGTAGCCAGACGTTCTTCTTCTTCTTTTCACTACTCCCTCCAATGTACTTGTATGATTTCCATGCTGCTCGTTCTCTGCTCACTCTGCTCTGGAGCTAGGTTGTTCATCATGTTGATTTTCCGACAGGTACGCATCGCTGGATCATTCGGAACTCTTGATACTTACACTCACATAAACAACAATGTCTAGATGTTGTGTTTAGTCTTAGGTACGGTATTATGTGATTGAGCTCAGATTCCCCTACTGCTTTCAAATTTGTGCTGATGAGCCACTCGGACCGAATCCCGGGTCTTTCTCCCAAAAACTGAAGATTTCCTGCAATGAGATTGGATAAGTTAAATGCTTTCTCCAAGAGGTGCGCAAAAGCTCTGACCGTCTGAAGCTGAAGCTACATTCTGTGCTTACCTATGTGGTAATTTGGCCCGGAAGTAAAGGTAGAAATGTAATATCAAGCAGCTATTGAAGCGAACGCGCAAGGCTATTGAACAGCGCGAACGCGCAAGGTTTTCATCAGAAATACCTAAAATAAAACATGAGACAGATAAATAGTCTAAGAGACAATGGGTAGTAGGGCAGGAGAACTGACTCAGATTTGTGGAGAGCAGAGAACGAGCACCGGGGGGGGGGGGGGGACGCGTCAACATCGACATTTGTACGGTGGGCATATGTACATAAATGAGTGGGACGGACTATAGATCCTATTAATAAAAGCGTTAGCAGCTCTGTCAAATTGTGCTGTCAAGACGTTGATACGCCACAGCATCTCTGCCTTGCTGTTGTGAGATCTGCTTACTATTTCGAGAAGGAGGTGACATGAGCTGTAGATTATTCGCTCAATATACCGTTTTATTTGAGTAGGCCCGTGTAGGGAGTTGACTATCTATCTTATTTGATTTTTCACGTCAACACGACCTATCCAATCATCAAAAGTTTCACTTACCATTAAATAACGCACATAAGTATTCAGACGTACATCTAATGAATTGACCCTAATTAAAATGATACGAAAGACTCAACACGACGAATGTATCACGTTTTCAGGCAGAAACAAAGCCACCGGCGCAAGAGGCTCCACCTCCACCACCACCGCCACCACCTCCACCGCCAAAGCCGGGAAAGTATCAATACAAAAAGTCGACAACTTACCAAAAATCGTATGCGTACGCTAGAAAGTGAATAAACCTAGCTTCTGACTGATTGATGTAACGCTGCGTTGCGCTGAATTCCCGGCGATCATTTAAATGCAGATAATAAAAATGATCAAAAGCGTTGATTATGGACAGTCACAACTTCGTACGACTTTGATTATGTCATTCTGATAACATTCAACATGTTGTCAGTTGTTATTCATGTGTGTGGTCGATGAAATATCGGGATGGAGGGAGCTATTGTCTAGAAACTTCTGATTATGATCGAACAGAACCAGTAAAATATGCAAAAAGTGAACCGAATTTGATGTCAAGATGGTACCGGTGCTCCAGTAAAGGCGATCACAATGCAAGCCCTTCGCTGCCTCTTATCACCTTACACGTGACCTTGAATTTGATGGATCCACACATTTATATCGGGTATCAGGACATTGGCGGTATCCAAAAAAGTTCGAGCACGGGAGTCGCTACAGGCGGTTGGATTTGACGTTTGGCAGAAAAGCAACCATCTGTGAGGAGGATACACGATAGAAATCTGAAGTGATCCTTAAGTTTCCTGACCAAATGATCGTAGTTCATATTGGTGTCAATGTTTAGTGTTTCTCACGTGTGCTTATGCCAAACGTAATAAACTTTATAATGTCCGAGGAATATATTTTACTATCGTTGCTTCACTGGCTTTTCACAACTTTAGATTCCACGTAAATTTCAATCAAGTTCAATCACCAAGAACTAGCTGCCGGCGACAATCTGTAAGTGACACCAGTGTCAATCGGGTGTAGGCTAACTTACAGTGGATTCTGTCGGTGAGTTTTTGCTAGGCTGCAGGGCGATCTATGTCTCTTGGATAAACAAGCTGTCGGCATTCCATGCAATTGTGAAGCTGTGTGATTAATGCAAAAGTTATCTAAACAAAGGGAGAAATGCGGTCAAGATTTATTTAAAATCTCCGAGTTATACGAGAGCATGAACGATTACTGACGAGGTGAAGGCAGAGAAACTCTCGATAGCTTCGTAGTTCAGTTGTGGCAATTTCGACTGCGTGGACGCAAAGCGTCGTCAGAGTTGCCACATATGGGAACTGTCGGTGAGCTTCCTGCTGCAATCATAGCTGCAGGAAGCGCGACGAGAGGACGAGACCGACAAATCGCTGCCGCTCTGACCTAATTGAGTAGTAGAAGCTTGTTGCTGCGAAAACCTCCCCGCTAGGCGCAAATCAGAAAGCGACGGACGGTGGAAGTTGATATCGGACTTCAGGCAAACCGTCACGGTGCGAAATCGGAATTTCTACAAGATTTATGAAGAAAGCATTCATTATTGGCGTGAACCCTCAAAGCTGCGCAGTCCTCGAAGTTAATTCACAGGACTCGATTGTATTAAGCGAGCGGTGCCGGTCGTACACAGCTTTTGGTTGCCTCCTCTTCTGTCAGTGCTAAGAATCCCACTTTTCAGCGTCCATGTTCTTCAGAATAGTTGGAATTTTTTCTCCGTGTCATGAACACGCAGTCGGGCCGATGCTGAGTTACATAGTTGGAATGCCGAGACACGATTAGCGCTCGGTAGAAGTGTGGAGTTTGTCATCAAATAATAAAAGGAATCCGATGCTATGAAATGCGGCTGAGAATGGTGAGACAGCATCACCTGCAAATTACACGAAAAATTTTAAAGCGGTACGAGATATGGTGCGGTTTCATTCGACAGTGTCGTTAAGAAACGTAGTCAAAAAGCTGGAAAAATGCTATCCTCAAGGTGTCATATTGCCGAGTAGAAGCTATTGCTTTGGATTGATGGTCGAAAGTGCCTCACTCCGCGCTCCATGCATAAAGATAATCTAGTGCGAGTACTGCAAGATGTTTTCCGAGTGATTAGGTCGGCGCGCCATTGAGAGATGTTCTCTTCGGTGAAATGTTGTTCAGGGTGAGCTCAACTTCCGATCGTCATAATGATCGACCACTTTGTCTAGAAGCCGTAGAACCTAACGATGGATGGAAAATTCATGACTGCAGAAGAGCAACAAAATCATAGTTTGAGCTGCGCTTGCCTAGGAGGTCATGTCCGTCCCGTTCCATCGAAGAGCATACTAAAAGGTAAACAGAGGGTGACCTGGGAGGTGTGCTGACTAACGTCTCACTTTTCCCTGTACATCCCACAACGGATCGGGACCGTTCGTGTTTCAGCAGGGTGCAGCACTAGCTGGTAGATCGAAGGCGACATCGCAGCACACGAGAACACCAACCCTAATCTCACCAGCTGCCAATCAAAAGTTCTTACTTGAACAGAGTGAAATATTTCGTGTTGAGCTTAGAGAGCAAGCTGCTCATAACAACACCACCTAGCCTCAGCCTAGATAACGAACCTGCTCCACGTTTAGGAACAAATTCTCTTCGGAGCATCTACTCCCCACGGTGAACGACAAAAGGCTAGCGCATCCAAGAAAGAAGTTTTTATAAGTGAAGCCGGTTTCGGTAATGATATTCATTTGGAAACTTCTTTCAGAAAACGTGCCCTTTTTTCTTGGTTTACAGTACTTGCAACTGCGGAATCTTGAGCAAGTAATTTTGGCGCACGCTGCAAAAGCCCTTCACGCCGCGACCAACCTCTCAAGCGTGGAGATTCTCAGTAACTTGAACGAATCAGATAGAGCGAGTTATCGCTATTTTGGCTACTGTGTAATTTTTTTAAAATAATTTTAGTAGTAGTGTCTTGAACACGGAGAATAGCGGTGTCACAATAATGACGATAGCCAAGACAATAGCATTTGTTAATTGGTCTTTTCTTTTGATGGCTTCTGCTTGTGTCTTCATGATTAATCGCTTCCTCGTTTGAGCTGTCACGCGAAAGGTATGACGAATAACCTCACAGTCATGTCCGTCTGTCGAACTGAAGATTCTACAAGTTACTAATGATGATATCCCTATGTTTTCAGAAATCTTTCTCTTTGGATAAGGATAGTAAACATCATAGGATTGTGTAGTACTTCAATTCCTATCAAAGTACGACTAGAAGATGGCGGACAAGTCCGCATTCGTGCCTGTAGAGGCCGTCACGGATAGGAAAAATTCCGCTGAAGTCGAAGCTGATATTGATGCTGAACTATTTGGGAAGAAGGTAACAATTTTTCCTCATTCTACCTTGACGGCTTCATCAGATCACTAGACTACCTGTAACTTCATGTGGCGCTCGTCTGTGCCCCAGACAAATAATACCTACACTGAATCTCAATGGCGACTTCAAAGGAAAAGAGGCTCAGCTGTAGGCGAGGCGCTTTCGCAAAATACATTATAGGCACTATGGTGGCAATAAAATTTTGTCGCGTGAAACCTTTCCTTCTAACTGGAAATAGGGGCCTAACGGAAAGGGCTTGAGCGGAGGCATGAGTAATTCATTTTTCCTGAAGCTCCCACACCCTCCTAGACTTAGCCCTAGAGGATGCACCCGTCTCTCATTAGCTCGATGGGCTACACCTGAACGCAATAAGATGCTTATAGCTTTTGCAACATGAACTTAACTGCTGCTTTTCAATACCAGTCGCAGTTACGCCAGGGTTCAAAAGTGTATTGTGCGAAGCGCTATGGCGCTTAACTGCAAAATCACCATACATACACAGGGGTGGCCAAAAAAAGAGACACTTCACTCCACATTCAAAACGGAATTATTTACGCGTTGCGAAACCAAACCAAATGACCCCAACTGAATATTGAAGAGCACGTTATAATCTATCAACAAGCTACACAACAGCCTTCTACACCGACGACATCAGAAGATTTTCCCACGGAAACATGGTTCGCGGTACGAGCTCAACGAGGTCGTCGAGGTACCATAGACCATTACGACGTCCCTGAAACGCTGGTCAAAAGCGGTTTTGCACAGTCACAGCTAATGTCTCTAAGAAGCTATTCAACAGTTAATCCATTGAAGAAATTATGTAGCAGCTTCAGGCCGGAGCGATTACGGTAAGCCTCGTTGAGCTCGACGGTGACGGCAGATGACGTCATATTCTGAAGACGGCGGGGCAGTGAAGGAGGGCCTGCTTCTGTTTACGGGGAACACCTAAGGAATATTCGCCGTAAAACTTTCATTAACATCGGCTCCCTGTGCGACGAAAAGTTCGATGATGTGCGCCATGGGCAAAGTGTCTCTTTTTTTGGCCACCCCTGTATATAATGTGTGGGGTCGGTGTGAGCACGTTGCTGAAGACGCCATCATGAAATTTCTTGTACCTACTCCGGTACAGTAGAGGGGAGGAGTTGGCTCCCGATGATTCACTCAGAGGGTGCAGGTAACTTGTGATAAATTGTTTTTGGAAGAAGCACTGCTCTTTGTAAAGAATTTTCATTCCAGGCGTCTGAAACGAAAGTCCAGGTTGGTTGAAAAATGCTTGCCGCTTTTAATGAAATCTATTAAATAGTATTGATAGCAAGTGTTATGGTATTCGTCTGCTCTGTCTATATCTTGCTTTGTGATTACTGGTCATGGGAACTAATGTACCGTATGCTGAAAGGCAGGGGTCGCGATCGGGTTGTGTTATTTCGCTCGAATGTGGCACCAAGAGTGCGAGGAGAACCACCAGTGAGGAAAAAAATTAGAAGCAGCTATTGAAAATACTGGAATCAAGAATTCTTGTTTTGTGGGATCGGATCGTGGTACGACGGAGAGACACAGCGCGATGAAGGGGAATACGAGAGCAACAGGTACGTGGGGACGCAGGCACGATTGAGGAGGGTAGCGCTAAATGCAAAGCCTCAATTGCTGCCTCTCCTATAGAATCGCTTTGATAATCTGATTGCGACCCATGCCCTCATAACTTGTTTAGTATTACAGAGCACTGCAAAAAATTACTTCTGAAAATGCGGTAATTCATATCGAAAGCGGAATTTTTACAAGAGGCAGCTTTCACCTCGAAGCTATGATTCAACTTCTTCTGTCTTATTAGTCTCTGGGGTAACTCTCA